AAGGACACTTACATGTACATGTAGTTCAATGTGTTTTCATGCAGACAACTTTGTGTTACAATATAAACAAGACTATTAGCAGCCACATGTACTTTCATTGAAAGTGGCAAAAACGGGAAGTGTTTCCATCCTCACCCCCAGTAGAAAGTCCTTTCATCAATGCTTTTCAGTTTTAGAAGTCAACAATTTACAGCGTCGTAGGCTTGAGTCACTTGACTTGGATGCAAATCAGACTCAAGTCGCTATTCTTGTGACTTTGACTCGCAAACTGTGACGTGACTTAGGACTTAAGCATTATGACTTGTTACCAAAAACTGCAAGTTAGCAAACTACTCAATTGAACCCATTAACGTTTTAAATTAGGCCCACACTCTGGAAAAAGCAGCGTAGGACTTTGTTCGACTTGGGACTTCTACTTCAGTCTTGTCTGCACACATTGCGAGAAATGGCTCGTACTTGGACAAAAAGACTTGTGACTTGCTTATGTTTGGACCAAATTGACTTGTGACTTGACTTGACCTGTGATCAAATGACTTTTGGCTGGACCCATTGACTTTTAACTCGGCTTAGACATGCAAAAATTGACTTGCTACTGGTACTATCTCTGACAGTTACCGGTACCATCCAGTGTCTGTTCTCACCAAACCAGGAGACAACTTATACTATGACAAGCTTTCATACTGTGTGTTCTTTTCAGAATTGTTTGATGATGTGACATAGTGCTGAAGCAATCAACATGTACAGTGTATAGTCCGTACATGTATACATATATATGGACATAAGGTGTACTTTTATTGTGTCTTTGTTGGTACCAGTTGTTGGTTGGTTCCAGTTTGTGTTGAATCATGATACGGTACATGTACATTCATGCATAGCATACACTCATATGGACTATTACACTGTTAGAAGTACATGTACACTGTATACCAGTGTGTCTGTTCAATAACAATGTGCTACAATGTAGGTACATGATTAGACTGGTATGGGGTATGCCTACATGTACGTGTACTTAGTCTAATGTTCCCACCAGTCAAAACTTCCTGCTTTGCTCCTTGTCATGCCCTAGAAAGTAGAATGTGCGCAACTTGCACATTGTGAAGTTAACATACATGTACAAGTACATGTACATGTATGCACGTGGGCCTTGGGGAAAAGTGTGCCTGATCCCCCTATTAAATTGGTTTCCCCCCATCTGCCTATCTCTCCCCGTGTTTTTCAGGTGGCCACGTCGAGTCTGTGTTTTCACGTCACGAGAATAACAGGTTGTTTACCATACATTCATTTCTCCTCCACCAGACTCAAACTTCCTGGAAAAATAACTGGCGGGTTCCCTTCCCTGCGTGGTGCCCGTGAGCTTGGGACAAAGCAGTGTGCACTGTCTGTGTGGGGGCTGCATGGTGTGGACACTGTACATGTACATACTGTAGACATACAGTGCACAGATGGGTTGATGTTTGTGATGAGGTTGTCTGGGAACTTTATCAGTACCCCTCGAGCCTCATCCCGTACGTGTTCACATTGTGGAGGTGGGGTGCCTCTGAATGTGGAAGCAGCCTCTTACCGGTACCGGTACATGTATGTACAGGTATGCAGGAGTCTGGAGAATGAGTACATGTCGGGCATTTGTGGGGTCGGAGTTTTGCATACCCTGCCAAAATTCTCGTTATCGGGAT